AAAAGAAATTTTCAAGTGTGTACTCTTTTTATCTGGCTTCTTTCACTTAGCATAATTATTTTGAGATTCATCTATGTTATATTTATCAGTAGTTGATTCCTTTTTATTCCCAAGGAGTACTCCTTTATAAAATACACCACAACTTATTTATCCATTTATCTGTTGATGGACATTTTCCCTAGCTACGGTTATTACAAATAGTGCTCTTATGAATATTCCTATACAAGTCTCTATAGTCATAAACTTTCCATTTCTTTTGGGTAAAAATTTAGGAGTGAGATGGTACATATATATTTAAAATTTTAAGAAATTTCTAATTGATTTTCCAGTAGTCGCAACATTTTACATTACCACTACCTGTATATAAGAGATCTCTTCACATCTTAGGCAACACTTGGTATGGCCGGTCTTTAATTTTAGCTATTTTAGTAGATGTACAGTTTTATTTTGCATTTCCCTGATTACTAATGATATTGAGCATCTTTTCATGGGCTTTTGGCCATCTGTATATCTTCTGTGGTGATGTTTCTGTTCAAATCTTTTGCCCATTTAAAAAAATGGGGTTGTTTATTGAGTTTTAAGTGTTCTTTATATATTCTGGATACAAGTCGTTTTTCAAATATGTGATCAGCAAATATTTTATCCCAGTCCGTGGTTTGTCTTTTTATTCTCTTAATGGTGTCTTTTGAAGAGCAGAATTCTTAATTTTGATGAAATCCAATTATTTTTTTCTTACATATCATGCTTTTAGTGCTGTATTTAGGCAATCTTTGCCTAACCCAAGGACACAAAAGTTTTCTCCTTCTTCTTCAGAGAAGAAATTTGGGCATTAGAGAACTAAATTCACTCATCCAAATTCTCATAGCTGTGTTATTTCAGAGCTAAGAGTAGCATTAGCCTCTTAGGAGAGGCTGACTGAACTAAATATCCTTTTTATACTACTTTCTAGGTCTTTCCAGTTATAGATTTCATGACACCACCATTTCCTCATTAATCTAGGCTTTAACACTTCAAATTACTTCTTACCCTGTTTTATGTATCATTAATTATAAATATTGTCCTTTCTCTTTGGAATGGTGGTCAGAAGACATGAGTTTAAATCACAACTCTGATAATCACATGATCTATGATTTTAGGCTCTCTGGAATTCTGGGTCTTTTATCTTTAAAATACAGATCATACCGTCCAGACAGGATTTTTGTAAAGATTGAGAGAACACACACTCTAGCAATATGATGCCAAGCAAATGTCACTGATCTTCATTTTTCTCTAATCTTGATTTCAGATGCAAAAAGGACAGTGAAATTGGGGCATAGTGAGCAAGGAGTAGAGTGCTAGAGGGGAAATTCAAGCAGTTGCGTGTGGTCCTCAGTGTTTAGATCCATGAAGTCCCTAGTGAGGAGTTTGGGTTTTATTCATAGTGCATTGGGAAACCACTTGAAGGGAATTGATCAGGGGACTGAAATGATTTAATTTTAAACGGTTAAATAAAAAATGATTGTGTAAATCAATGAATTATAGATAGGGCCCGGTAAGGAGACCATCACAGCTGTTGTAGTAGTCTGGATGACAACTGGACATGAACTAGACCACCATGGTAGTAAAAGAAAGAAAGAGAAGGAGATATGTGATATCCGTTTGGAAAGGAGACATGTCGAATTAGGCTAGTCTCACTGTGCTGTAAATATGCCTGCTTATTTTTGTCCTATGTGACTTTTCATGTTCTTTGGCTTGCCCTTTCTCACTTTCAAAGTTCCTTATCAAATCTAATCTCTTTTTCTTCATTCAGTACTCTCTTGAATATTCTACTTCTTCACTACTCTGAGCTTCCAGAGCTAATATTCATTCTCCAATTTTCACTTTTGTCAGTTTTGTCTTCTCATTTATAAATCGTCAAGCTGCCTGACAGTAACAGTTTATTTTTTATCTCCATTTCTTGTCTCGATGAGACCTAGCACAGTTCTATGTCCATAATAAATGGATAGTAAATAACTAATTGATGAATAACATTGTGCCTCTTGTAAAAAATTCAATCAGACAAACAATGTTAAAAAAAACTCCAAACTTTCAATAATTGAGCTAAGAAAGTAATCAAATATCAACATGGCCATTCTGAAGAAACTGACTTACTATAATCCTCTAATAGAAACTTGTCACAATGTAGGTGAAGTACAAAGTGAGGATTTTCTAAGACAACTGGACAGAGTCCGTAGGCTCAGCCTCAGGTCATCCTTTCATGCTGTTGTTGCAAGCTGCACATTTGAGTTGTGGCTGTAGCAACTGAGAGGAACTGGAGCTGAAAGCAATGTTATATTTCTTTAAATGTTTAAGAAATTATTTTTTTAATGTTAAGTATTGCTGAGAAAATCCAAGAGGACACTGTGTGACACTTTATTACACCACATGGCATTGTAAACCGAATTCTCTAAAGAGGGTCAAAGAAAGTTATAATTATTCCAAGACTTAAATCTTGTGAAAAGTAGTTAGAAGCCAAAGAATTATAGGCTGAATATGTGTAGAAAGAGATTTCACAGAAAGTACTAAATGTATTTGAATAAATGCCACCCAACCTATTTGATTGTGTAATTTTCTGAAAGAATTACCTGGTACGGGCATGTTTTATATGTCTTTGTTGATCCATGGACAGGACAAGCCATAGATAATTAAGGGTGAAATTGCATATATATCAATTGTAAAAAAATAAAAGAAATAAAAACTCCCAGTCTTCAAACTCACCATTAAGACTCCTTTCATCTCATAGCTCACTAGCAAATTGAATATATAAAGCACCTTTCACACAGAAAGTCAGAGAGCAAAGCACTAAAGCAAAACAAATACCAGTGATTAAGGAAAATTTAAAGCAGCAGTAAAAATATGTTTCTTTGGTTTACTTTTAAATACAGACTGGGAACTGCAAATAACTGGGAGTACATGTAAGTGGTAATTTTTTTTTGTCTTCATGATTCTATGATGTTGAATACAAATAAGGGAAAACCCTTGCTGCTGCAAAACTCAGCAATATATTTGAGATAATTTATTTAAAAAATATTTACCCTAATTTATTTAGTAATAATTTTAAAATTCACTCAAATATGTTGTCATTTCTTAGTCTTAACAGTTTTGACATGCTTTAGACTTACTTTAAGTGATTTAGGAGAAATGGTTAAAATGATCTTTCCTAACCTGAGAAGTATCAAAGAATGGAAGCAAACTTTCAAGTCTTCACGGTGTTCCCAAACAATTTAAAGAGTTCAGAGTGAATATTTTATTCTGCATTGAACAATATTTAGATAATTCATCAGGGGATTTGTAGCTCTTCAATGGAATAGAATCGAACTGTTTAGAAGAGTCAGTGAAACACAGGTGCTGATTTCATGATAAATGGCTATTGTCAATCATTGCTTCTTTTAGTGTAACCATTGGCCTACTGAAGTACTTCAAAGAATACTCCGGAAGCCATGGATTTGGAGAAAGAAAGAAACAGCTCTTACTTTTTATCTATAATTTTTTTTTCAACAATGTTGTTAAAGAAAAGGCAATTTAATAAAGAAAAATCATTGATTTTGGTGAATAGACAGCAAGATTAAAGTAAAACGTGTATTTTTCATTAAGAAATTTGGGGGGTTGTTTCACTCTCTCTTGCTGGCTCTTTCATTCTTTTAACTTGCTGTCATTCTTTTTCTCTCTTTGTCTTCTTTTGCCAACATATTAATTTTAACAGCTGTTTATGTATATCTTTTTTTATATCTTAAGTTTAAGATCTTTGAACCACCTCATGTTTACTGATGAAAGTAAGTCACCACTCATGCACTTACCATATGTAAAAGCTACCAAGCAGAGCTTAAGGAAAAGGAGGGGCAGCAGGAGCAGTAAGAAATAAAAGAAATTTGTCTTTTTTAAATCCTCAATATTATTTCGTTTCCACAGTTATATGTTGGAGAGAAATTCTGAGTGTATTTCCTGAGAACTTACAGTTTTGGCAGAAGTAAAGAAGGTGCTTCTCATTAGGGTGAGTAGGAAGCATTTGTTAAACTTGGCTAGAGCCCATGCAAATAGAATTTTGGAAGGTCTAGTGATTTTTAAAAAAGCTTTTATAGATTATTCCTCATAATGCAACTCAAAGGATATTTTGAGTATTGATGAGTATTAATAAGATTATTCCATGAACTGGTTTGATTTTGTTGGCTGAAATACACCTTATAAATTATGACTTCACAATTGTAGAATATATTTAGATTCATATATTTTGTTTCTCTTCTTGAGGATTATGTATCATTTCTCAATCAGGTAGATTCTAAAGTGTGGTGAAAAATTACTGTGACTCATCCAACATTTCCAGTGTTTAGTTCCATTTCTTTTCAAAGATATCTCTAGATTACATTTGGAATCCCCTTCCCTTATGTCTCTGGAACTGTTTTCAAAATTCTGAAGCACTTGTTAAAAATGTACATTCCTAACAATGCTCCCAGGAAATTCTGATCTAGGAGTTGGGAATGAGGCTTTCAAACAATGCTCAAGTGACTTTTAAAACAATGTTAAAAGATAATAAATTTTTACCTCTAGTATTTCCATAAGATAAAAGTTATTAAATTTGAGTAAATAAGTATTAAAATTAGAACATTTTGATATGTGACAGATATCTTATAGGGTCAATTTAAGTACTAGCTATTCAAAATTTCTGGAAGGGAATAAGTCTCTAGACTTTTTCAAGAACTTTACCAATATTCTACTTGATGCTTTAAATCGTGTCATTCTCTCTGGTAACTAGTTAGCAACAGACTATGATATGCAGATGTGATGCAAATTATCAGGTGAAGTAAGTAGAGAAATGTGGAAGCAAGGTTTGAGGGTAGAATTTAAAATTATGGTCATGAACAGACTTAATTATCTACCTTCTTTTTGCTTCCAGAAAAGATTCTGCACAGGTGTACTTACCTAGACAATCACCAGTGTGGTAACTGTTAATTGTACACCTCAGATTTTGGAAAATGCTAAAAGAGCCAGGTTCTGATCTGGATAATAGTAAAAGGATGTTGGCAGATTATTGTGGCTCTTGATTTTAGGGAGTTTAGTTTTATTCTTTCAATGAGATACACAGTTGAGGAAGATCCAGTACCAGATGGTAATGTTGGCTAGAAGTGGTTTTCTCACCTACATTTGGCAGCTCTATTCAGCAGTGGTGCCTTCAATGCCTGAAACTTCCACTCTACACCATTTAACATGATCATTGAGAAGCTTTAGGTGGTGTAGATACAATGACACATCTCATTAAAGGTCCTGTAACTATGAACATCTGACATCTGTGCTGAAAATGGAACTGGATGCAACCTTCAAGTGGTTGTATATTTAAGTGTATGTTGTTTTTATTTTATTTTTTAAAGACACTACTGAAATTCATCATATTAACGGGGGTTGTAATTCTAGTGGGATTTTTCACTTGGAGAAATAGATTATAAGTGAATAGACTGCCCATTTTAAAGATAGCCTCCAATTAAATAGGTTCCCTCTTTTCCAGAATTTAGAAAATGATTTAGCTAATGACTTATTTGTCATTTAATAATAATAATAATAGCTATCCTGATATGAATATCTATAATGTACTAGGATACTTTATGTATAAGCTGTACAACAGCGCTGGAAGGTATTCCCATTTTGTAGATGAAGGACCTAGGGCTCTGAGAGGTTAAGAAATTTGCTGAAGACCATAAAACTCATAAATGATGGAGCCAGGATTCTGCCAGCCATGACACTGCCCAGTGGGGTCTCTGCTGGTTTTGCCACCAACTCCTGCAGGATGTATGGGAATAGAGTTAACATTCATTTCTATAAAATGCAACAAGCAGATATTCATAAATTTTTTCCTGTAGTTTAGTGTTTAACCTGAAAAAATGTCAAAAAAAAAACAAACAAAAAACCAGAAAGAGCCTGATTCAGCCTTTAAGGAGTTTACCATTCAAATGATCCTTTTCCACATTAAAGAATAGCATCCTGAATCTTCATACAAATTTCTAGGTGCTTTAGCTTTAAGTTTTAAAAAAAGTTTTAAAAATGGTTCTTCTTATTAGAGATTTTAATGAAATTAGGAAATAATAGGTAACCAAATTGAAATGTGTTCATTTTAAATTTGGTCTGGTTTCTCACAGCTGCAGAAATTCATTTTCAACCCTCTCCTCTTCCCCCTTTACAAAGTCCTAAAGTGCAAACCCATTGGGAGTCCCCTCCATTTCTCAAAGGAAATATTTCATTCATATAATGTCTCCTTTGTAATCAACACTGAGAAATGTCACTTTGATTAAACACAACTCTGAATGACTAAGACCACAGTACAATAAATTCTCCAGAGCTATCTTTCAGAACAACTGATTGCTCTCCAGTCCTAATCCTCCAGAGTCTTATTTAATCAAAATGATGTTGCTAATTAAGGATTAAAACTTCCGAATAGAATAAAAAAGAAGGATTTTTCTTTCTCCTTTGGGCAGGTCAAGGAGGCAGAATTTGCTATGAAGAAGTAGAGTCTCTTCCACCTTTGGTGAAACTGCATTATTCTCTGACATTTGGACTTAATCCAAAATAGGCCTGAGTGCTTTGTGATATTAATATAATTTTTATATATATATGTGTGTATATATATATATACATATATATATATAGAGAGAGAGAGAGAGAGAGAGAGAAAGAGAGAAGGAAAGAAAAAGGAACTGTCTTAGATAGCTACGTATACTTAGATAACATTTATTCTAAATTTTTTTCATTTAATAATTTTAATAGCAATTTTCTGTAGATATTTTGTCTGTTGCTCTCTGTGCATTGCTTTTATCTGCCGCTAATATTATTCGTTGCTAACATTGGAAAGATAGAATATTTTTTAAAAATGTTGGCAACCCATTTCACAGAAAAGTGGGAATAAAAGATTTGATGTATCTCAGATTTGTTTGACATTCACTGATGAATAACAGTAAAAACAACAAAATTCTCTATTAAATGCTGAAATGCTCTAGCTTAAGATTAAAATTTCAAATATTTTTGAATTTGTATTTGGTAATAATAATTGGTTTTCTAAAAGTACATATAACTGTATAAGAACTTGTTGGGAGAGGCAAAGATTCAAGGAAAGATGGGTTGGTTTTTAGGGAATACAAACTCTTGCAGGTGATTGGGGCAAAGTGGATGTAAAACAGTGATGATGTTTTAAAAAATTATAGAATGCTTCTTCTATCCTTTTCATCTCCTCTTTGCATTGTCTTGTGAGCATATTACCCTGCCCAAATTAGTCCATTCCAATGTAATAAGTTCTAATAACAGCTACCCACTTATTGATCACCTACTATGTGCCAGGTCCCCTTCCAGCAATATATACATTATTACCTCTAATAAAACCCAAGAAGAGGTATTATTATAACCCTTCAGAAATTATTACATTGAAGCTTATGGAGAATAAATGACTTCATCAAGGTTAGGCAGTTTGTGTTAAGTAGAGTTGAGACTTCCACCCAGGCTTGTTTGGTTCCAAAGCCACATTCTACAATATAACAAGCCATTTCACATTCATTTACTTAGAGGATAAATTTATTAATGTATTTCGAGAAGGTGCTGGTAAATTATGTTGGTCTGTACCTGACTCATTCATTCCCATGGTTACTGATTGAATCATTACCCAGCTCAGTTAATGATAAAGACTGAACTGCTACCATCAAAATGGGATCAGAGTGCAAACAATGAGAAACTCCCAAAGGGAGAGAAATGTCATAAACCTGTTTCTCTTCCAACCAGTGTTACCTACCAGTTAAAAAATAAAATTTGGTTCTGTGATCCATACTCCTGAAGGCTGCTAGTGCTCAGTAGACAAATGATGGCTCTTATTCCTCCAGTGCTGAGGCAAATGGCCAGCAGTGCTACGTAAAACATCCTGTTCTGCTCTTTTTTTGGTATGTTGTTAATTATATGGTGAGTACCTATATAGAAATCTTCCAAAGGAAAAGCAACTACAGATAATAAAGCAGTGCCTGTAGACAGAGAAAAAGGAGAATAAATATGATATAAACCAATTGAATCACCAAATCACATCACAAATAAGGTTTTCCTGTGAAAGGAGCATCATGATTGTCTTATTAAAATGTTTGTTAATCATTGTAATTCTGGAGATAGCGTGATTTTTCTAAATGTGAAAATTCCTTCAATATGTGTTTTAACTAATCAAGAGTCCTAGTTTCCCCACCAAACCTGAACTAACTTTCTTCTTGGAATGTATAAGAACACAATTTCCATTTTAACAAAATTAAAACAGTTCAGAAATACATCATGTAAGAAACTAAAGATTCCTGTAATCCCACCCCTAGAGAAAACCACTGTTAACAAGAGTTATTTGTTCTTAGTCAATAGAGTGATAGAAAACGTGATGATCTCAGACATCTCAGAAGCCTGTTAAATAAAACGTTTTAAGAATAACATTATTGTAGTTAGAGGAGAACATAGCCTCTCTTTGCCTTTTCTGCTTCTCTTTTTCTTTTTAATGCCCTTCTTATTTCTCTCATTGGGGTGAAGTCTTTGTCACACACAGAGGTGAGAAGACTAGCAAGAATGGTGTGAGGTGGACGATGCAGTCCAAGACATGGGAAGGGAGGACAGACAGTGATAATGGATGAAGCATTCCTTGCAGGGACTACACCTGAAGACTTTCCTTGTCTAATAGAAATTATAATTCAATTTCATGCTTTCGCTAAGCTCTTTATAGTCTGCAAAAACATTTGCATACTATATTGTTTCTTCTTGGAAAAACTTTGTGATGGATTTTCTTATTTCAGTTTTCCAAAAAAGAGAAGAAGGAAAAGGGGGGGTAGGAGGGGGAGAAGGGGAACTAGGGAAGAAGAAAAAATAAAACAAGAAAAAAGAAACAGTTTCAGTGAGGTTAAGTGACTTGCCCAATGTTACCAGGTAACTCGGATATAATCTCCCTTTTCTTGGAATTCCTGTCTTGAAGTAGTCAAATTATCAATTTTTTTCTTTATTGGTTTGATTAGTGAAAATAGCTTCTCCATGTTAGTTTTTGTCCTTCATTTTATTAATTTAACATTCAAATTTTTGGTATAAATTTTTATATAGTTAGTTTTCTCAATTAGACTACGAGTTCCTTAAAGGCAAAAATTGGGTCTAATTTCTGTCTACTTGTTGTCTTTCTTCTGGTGCCTTTCACAATATGAGGAATATATACATACAGTAGTTATTTGTTAACAGATTGATTTATATGAGGGGAAGCCCTTTAAATTATCGAGTTTTCAGTGTTTCCTCTTAAGGTTAGCTAGATGTGACACAAACTGCTGTCTCTCTGCCACTCAGTGTTCATCTCTGGAAGGGTGGTGTGAGGCCTGACTAGGCTAAGGTTATCCTAAGAGGATGGGAAGAGGAGTTACTTCCTGCAGCAACCATTTATTTAAACACTTTTAGTGGTACTGTTGTATAAGTTAGAAAAGCACTTCACTTCCATCTTTTGAGAACATGTCATAATATACTAACTTCATTAGATCAAAATTTTACTTCTGCTATAAAATTGATATAACAAAAATAAAATCTATAAATCTATGATAAAAAAAAAAAAATGAGTCTCTGTTGTGTGCTATTGTGCACTGCATAATCAGCACACCTGGACTTTATAGCTCAGTATAAAGCAGCAGGATCAGTCATGTCCTGTTTTAGGTGGTGGGGGTCCACTGGCTCTTCTCTCAAAGAGCTAATGAGTCCAAGAGAGGGCAGACATGCAGGCGGATAATTATATTATGATGTAAATGCAATCGAATAGGTATGATCAAGGTATAAGTGAACACAGAGAATTGAGCAACAAACACTGCATGGGTCTTGAAGGAAAAGCAGGAGTTTTCAAGTCTTGGATATGGGGTTTAAAGATAAAGGTTAACAATTTCAGGCATAGAAAAGAGCATATGTAAAATTAGAAAAGTAGGAAAGTAAGCAAGGGATAAGTTTACCATGGTTGAGATGGAAGTTAAGAGGTAAATTCGGTACAAATTGTAAAGGTTCTTATATACAAAATTGGATTTCATTTTTAGATAGTAGAGTCAATATATAGATTTGTTCTTTCAGGAAATCAGTGTTGTTTGTGGAAAGGTATATGGACCAGAGTAACAGTGATGGCTGAGCCCAGCAAGTAGGTCATCATCATAGCCAAGAAAAAGAACGCTGCCTTTTCAAGCTAAGGTTTTAGCAATTCAGACAGAAAACACATTTTTGGTAGAATCTCTGATACTTAGTGACTGGTTGGAACTTGATGACAGCTGTGAGTGGAAGACACAAGTAAATAACTTTTAGTAAAAAAAAAAAAAAAAAAAAATGGACTTAGAGTTTGACTTAGCTCTTTTGTTTGCCAAATTACAAAGTCTGAATTTCAGTCTTGGCTTTATGATTTACACAGGAATTTAGACTAACAGAAGTTACCAAGTGCTACTGATAGGGCTTGTTACCAAGTTAAAAAGAGTGAATCATTGTGTCCATATTTTAGTTGTCTAGCTTTTATAGTTTTTCATATATTTCCTCCTGGATTGACACCTCTCCATTGTGTAGACTATTACCCTGAAATTTTTCTGGTCTCTATTTAACCTCTCACTGTGTTTGTCCATCCTGTTCATTGAAGAAAAGTATTTCCAAATGTTTTCATCATATCTTCAGTAACTCCTTATTGTCTAGAAGGACAACTTGAATTTTTTGGCCTAAAATTTTAGACTGTTAATCAATTGCTCTCTCCACCTTATCGATCTTGGTATTTCTCCCAACATTTCTCATAATCACTTCATTCCCAAACTTTTGTAGATGTATTTATCTTTCTCTATGTAAAGAAGCACAGTGTAGTGTTTGAATTCATCTAATTTTTAGCATATAGACATAGTTCATAATATAGAAATAATCTTCACATACAGTCTTAATTAATATATGACTAATTAAAAGACAACTGTTTGATGAAAACATTTCTCAGTTATTCTATATGAACTTCAAAAACCTTTTTAGCACATTTCATCTTAGTTGTGAAGCAAATTAACTTCATGTTTCACATAGCATTTGTCATGAATTTGGACTCGGAGTGGGAAGGGGGCATTCTCAGGAATACAGAAGACAGACATGTAAAGAGGTAATTATTATAAAATATAATCAGTGCAACAATATAAGTATCAAAACATCTAACACACACACATTTACTAGCATCCCTCAAACAATACAGAAGATGAAATAAATTGAAACAACATTCTTCGTTTACTACATTTTACTCTAAGAGCAAGCTGGAAATAATATAAATTAAAAATTCTAACAAAAATCTATTTAATTAAGTTGCAAAACAATCCAGTCAGAAGAGGACACTCACCCAGGAAATGTAGAAATAAGCAAATATATACCAGTTTGTTTCTTCCTAGACAGACATCAGCAAACCATTCCGCAAGCACAGGGGTAAGGATTGAAGTTCTGATAAAACACAAATTGAAAATGGCCTCTTGGTAATTGTGATAGCCAAGCTTGACAGTGCAAAAGGGGATCATATTGCAGACAACTTCAAAGAAAGTGAACCTCTCACACATCTCCACCAGAAGCGAACAGATTTCAACCCGAATTTTTTTCACAGAGTATGATGAAGAGAAGTAACCAATATATCTTGCAGTTTTCTCCTCGATGATATGACTTAAGGGTACTTTCTCCTCAGTTATTTTAAAGTCTGTAACAGATATGACTACCCTCCTTGAATACAACTATGTTAGTGGTTTGAATTTGGTGAGTTTTTACTTCTACCCTTCTAATGAAAAAAATAAATAAGATCTTTGCTTTGAATTTCACAGCTCCATGCTAAAGTTTCATAGGACGTTTTGCACATTAATGTTGTTCATTTTGCACATTAATGTTGTTCATTTTGATGATCCAGGAGCACAGGAGAGGAGACATGAGTATTTAATCCTCCTTCCCCACTCCCTTGGCCCCTCACAGTAGCTCGTGTAGCCAAATCTGATTTGTTTGTCTAATTACTCAGAGGCTAAATTAGGCTCTTCCTCCACAACTATATTGAATTACATGAATCCAGTTGCATATGTGTAAAAACTCATCTGCCTCACACTGATAAAGGTTTAAATTCTGAGGCAGAAGAAGCAGTTTTTTAAATTTGAGCATTAGATCAAGAAATAATTTGAGCCTAATAATTTCTGATACTTTAATTAAACAAGCCGGAACAGTACCCAGAGATAAAGTGCGAAAGGAAATCTGTTTTGAGGGGGCAGGATACCTTATCATTATTACAATTCTTGTTATTTTTGGTTGGAATTCTGATAAGAAAGCTAATTAGGTAACAAAAGTGCTAGTACATTTAGGTAACAAGCAGAGTTTGCAAGAAGTAATTTCAGTGCACTAATGAAAGGAGAAAATATTAAACAAAAACCTTCTTCCTTTAAGTTGACCCCATGCTTGTAGAGCAGCAGCCTCTCGGAGGAAATCAGAATCAAAAGGCACTATTTGACTCCTTATTACTAGTCAGCAGGGAGCGCAGCAACCATCTTATACATGCTTTGGGGAATACTGAATCTGGTATCGCCCTGACCCTCTAGCTGGGTGAATGGATGTTAGCGTTCTATTTTGGAAAGCAGGAGGGTACCAATTAAAAAAAAACAAAAAACAAAAAAAAACAGTAAAAGAACACTTTAACATTTAGGGGTTTAGCTGCAAGGACACACAAAGACAAGGTAATGAAACTACTGGGTCAAAGTCATAATATTCAACACATGGGGAGTGAGGATGGAAATGTTATTTTCATGTTGGAGTCAGAAGAAAAAGACTGATAAGGGCTTTTGACTCTGATTTTCATCTTTTGACCTGAAAGAATGGGAGGAAAACATTTTGTTTTGACCCCTGCTAATAGTCTCATTGTAATGGCAGTTATTTTCATCTGCTCAGCATCACTTCCCCCCTCTTTGGTAACAATGCCCTGTTTTTCCTTTGTGTAGAGTGATAATGCAATTATTATCCAAATTTGGACACTTTTGTGAGTGAAAGTGATGCTATTTATAATTATTCTTGAAAAACAATTATGAATCGGGACTGTTTAGGGCAAATCTTAACATGTGGTCATCTTACCTTTGGGAAATAAATTTCGTCTATTACATGAGATCCCGTTGGGGCTGTTAATTAAGGTATCTCTTTTCCTTTGGCCGAGGAGGTCAACACATAGTTAAAGGTGGTCCTTTTACTTTTTCTTCCTCCAAATTTTAATCATGAGTGGAAGACTCAAGACTGGACATGGTGGTAGTTGAGTCATTCAGATGGCAGTACCCAAAAAGGGATTGCCATGAGGCCTGATGGGAAATTCAGTGCCTTCTTGGTTCTCATCCTCCAGGAGGCAGGGTTAGCTTTTCCTTCTGTAAAGGACTCAAATTCCAATCAACTTTCATTTAAGTTAGCCACATTTTGTTTTTGTGGCTTACAAAGAACCCAGTGTGATCCTTTATGTTTGCCCCAGATGTAGGGAACAATCTTTCTCTAGCCACAAGCTGATATATTTAGCCAGCACCTTACAAAGAACTCCAGGAGTATTATTTCACAATCGAGGTTGTTTGCCGTACTTCTCCTGGGGCCTGATGATGATTATGTTTGATTTCTTTGGCTCGTCTGTGTATCATTGCCTAAGAATAAGCCACAGGTGGTGGGACCCTGTGGTTTGGAGTGGTTTAGTTAGGGAGAGTAACAGCATTGCTGAGTAGAGTTGAAGCAATAGGGAAAACACCTCTTTCTTATTGTTATTTCTGAGTACAAGCTCAGAGTGAGCTTGAAGGACAAATACCAACTCCACCTTACACTAACACTTGGCAGGGAATATTGAATATCATCGTCTTTATCAGCAAGCTTGAACTCGAGTGGAGGCTTACACATTCTTTAGTTTTATGCAACTCTCACCACTCCTAGGCTTATTCTTTGTTGCTCTCCCTGCCTCCTCCCTGTGCCCCTCAATAAAGTGATATTCTTCCTCCATTATAGAAGCAAAGTATCTATATTGGATACAATTTGGAAAATATCTAAAAATAAATATAAAAGAAAAAACAAACAAAGTTTTTGGAGCACTTCTTTTGATGTTTTTCTCTCCATGACTATTTTTTATTAGTAGGTTTTACATATTTAAATTGCATAATTATATGCAATTACTGTGTAATCTGTTTTCTACTCCTTTGGTAGGTAATATTATAAGCACTTTAACATGCCATTATTAACTCTTTGTAAATAATTTTTTGTGGTCACCTTAATAGATATCATTCACCTAACTATTCTACCACTTTTGATTACATTTGTCTCAGATCCATTATAAGCAGACTTTCTTTAACTTTTGACCATTACTGCATACTTAAAAGAAAAAACACCTTTATCAGCAATGCTGGAATGAATTTTTGTTCATAAAGCTTCCCCTTTGCCCACATTATATTCTTAGGCTAGTTTTTCAGAAACAGTATTACTGAGTTAAAGTGTGGTAAAGTTTTCAGGCATCTTAATTCATAATGCCAAATTACAATACAAACTTAAGACCTTTTTATAATTGAAAAGCCCATATTGTTTTGGGAACACAGAGACTATACTAACAGAGAGGTTGCTCTCTAAAATACAGAACATGTTACTCTTGACCTAAAGAAGTTGTTTTTACTTGTTCAAGGCAGGAACACGTCAGAGAGCTTCATGGATGTGGGGAGAAATAAGTGATGAAGTTGAAGAGAAAAGAAAAAGCATCACAAAAGGCTTCATACGACAGAATTTTGACCGGTTCTTGAAGTCATTCCTCTTTTATATGCTGAACCTATCCAAATAAAATGAATTTCTACAATAAAGCTAGGTATAACAGACTAAAGTCTTTTATAATAAATAATTTTTTTTTCCTACTCAAAATCTGAAGTATGGGCACCAGTTAAGAGGTACTGACAAGACTCAATAATCTTAGGTACTTATTTTTCCACCACCATCACCTACAGTACTAGTGTAGTAATCTACACAAAAATTAATGGAAAAAAGTACCAGGATTTGGTAGAAAATTGGAGGCAGAATTTTTAGGACTAATTGGATATATGACATTAGAAAGTGAAAGCATCAAGGATGATGTGTAGGTTTCTAGCTTAGACATCTCAGTGGATAGTGGTGCTGTTCAGTACTAAGGAACAGATCTGGGGTAAAGGAAGCTAACTTTCCTATTTGACATATTGAGCTGGATACACCCATGGCATATACAATAGGTGATGAAAGAAGGGAATCAAATTTCCTTTTGTGCGTGTGGGAAGAGTTACTTCTTGCTTTGAGTGGAGGTGAAGCATAACCTTCAATGAAACTTTTCGAACAATATTAAACATTCTCAAGGCAAAGGCAGCTTAGAACATTACCATTTAATCATCTCTACTGAATACCACTTGAATTTCATGAGAATTTATGGGGACACTCTGCGTTCCTATGCAAAGCATTAGAGTAGGCTATAGGAGACTATAACCATTGCTAAACATAAGCTGTAGAACAACAGTAAACTTTTTTGAGAAAAAGTAAAAGTTTTATTAAAACAGGAAAATGGATGCATCAGCTGTTTTTAAATTAGTTATAATTATATAAAATATTGATCTAATTCAATTTTAATTTGAATGTCTTTAAGTCACTTCTTTTTATTTCTTAGAGTAAATAATAATTTGTCAGTGATTTTAACACTGGATTATATTTTCATAAAAGAAAAACAATAGCAGTTGAATCACCTGCTATGTTAATCAGTATGAAGGTAAAACTGATTCCTTGTCATTTATCTCAGATTTGGGTTTTGCTGGCACTAATTTTAGGGAAGTTATGTAAGTGGAAACACTTAACCTCTATCGTTTTGGTCTTAAAAACTTAAAATGTTGATAAATGTTGAAGGACCACTTTTAAAGCAGTCATTTCCTTAGAGTATGAGCTTGACCCTAAGTTAACAGACAGATTTTGAAGGAATGATGGCTTTCTTAAGGAAGACATCTTACCATAGGGCGAGGGAGGATTGAAGAGAGAGAGAGAGACAGAGATAGAACAGTGGCACTAGATTTTAAAAATTCATTCATAATTTTAGACTGACCATCCCTTAATTTCAAAATAATACAATTTTGGATCTGAAAGAAGACATTTTTAGGTTTGAATATCTTGAAAATTAGAAATTGACCTGGACCAATAGAGCTTATTCTTAATTAATTCCATTATATTGTAAAAATGTTTTTAGACTTAGTACTTCTTCTATCTATACAAATCTATACAATAAACTTAACTTCTTAGGACCTCAGTGTTCTTTACAGTGACTAGAGCTTTGAACTGGATGTCATTTAAGCCCCTTTCTAGTTCTCTGGCTCTAATTTCCCTTGTTAAAGACCATGGAAATTTATAAGAAATATATCCTTTTCATAGTAGTAATAGAATTGTCTTTCTATAAATTTTGCTTTTTATATATATAAACTATGCAGACAGTGTAAGTAAGATTTAACTATTTTAAAAGATGCAATTACCATGGTTATGGCTAGGTTTCTATCTTTGTAGTACTGTCCCTGTGGAGCCAATTTGAGAGTTTGGGAAGGTAAAAAGCAGGGGAAGAGCTACTGTATTGCTCTCCCTCCCTAGACCATAGTTAAAAAATTATTCTTGGCTTTCAAAATTTATATAGGAGGAAAAAACACAAAATTTAAAAATATATGGTTATAAATAGCACTTTGGTTTTGATTTTATTGTTTCTTCAAACTGCAAATTTTATTATGGGGACTTTATTCAAACACATGTAATTACCTAAGCTAAGCAGTTTTTCATACTTTCAAGGCTCTTGCATTATTGCACCTGTACGAAGACTTTATAATTCAGTAGTAATTGAACAGCAATTATTTTTCATGATGCATGCACATTTTTATATCAGATTGTTGGCAGATATTCTTTATGATGATGTCGTTTTTGCTAATGAGGAAATTAGAGTGAGTTATCTCAGAATGAGATGTCTTTTTCTGACTCATTTCCTAGCTCTTGACTTGGATTTTAGAAAAGTTTTTGTGTTGTAAAACAGCATAATCAAATGAGAACAACGTTATCTCTGAATTCATGGAGGGCAGGGAAAGTGGTGAACTACTTTATAGGGCTAGTACGATCCTGTCTGTCTTATTCATATGATAAACTCTGACGTTAAACTTATTTATGCCTCTGTGTATATAAATTGTAAAATTCCAACAGAACAAAGACCGAACTTTTTAAGCTTTTTACAGTGCTCTGCTCAATATAAGTCCTCAAATGACAGATGATCTTTCTCAACAGTTTGGCATAAGACAAGAGAACAGAGGGCTGGCATGATTTTTCAATGAACTCAGGCATCAAGTCAACTCAATCTAGACCATTTAGGTCCCATAAAAATTCAACATTTATTAAGCACCTGTTTTATGTCAGGCACTCTGCTTAATACTAAAGATTCAAAGGTGAAAAAGATCTGATCTTTAAATTTCAATTTCCTGTAATAAATATATTATGTATTTTATATATGCCATATATACACCTAAACTATGTGTATATATGGCATATATAAAAATATATGCCACATATATATATATATTCCATATATACACAAAACTATGTGTTTATATGGCATATATTGAAATTTAAAGATCAGATCTTTTTTCACCTTCATTCAAGAAACATATTCATTGTGAGCTAGAAAACTGTAATAAGTAGAGAGGACCCAGAAAAAAAGACTCAAATTTGAATTTCAAGGAAATCATAGTCCGACAGTAGAAACTGAAATAAAAATACAATTAGAAAACAGCGACAATTGTTTTTATAGAAGTACACACAGAGCACTCTGGGATAACAGATGAAGTGCATCTTAATGGGATTGTATGGAAAAGACTTTCTCAAGGAGGTTATGCCTGAGTGAAATCTCAATGAAGAGCAAAGGTTTATCCAGGCCAAGAAAGAAGGGAGGTGCATTCTGGGAAGAGGGAGAAGTGGACCACAGGCAATGATATGTGAAACCAAATAGAGGGCTTGAGAACTGCAGATATTTTGTTACTACTAGAGCACAACGTGACGAGAAAGAGTGGTGAGAGACGAGTGAGATGTGGAGAGTCTTGTGTTATGATAAAGAGTTTAAATTTTATTCTGAACTCAGTAGAAAGCCATAAAAAGTTTCCAACTTTAGATTAATTTAGAACTTAATTCTAGAGAGCAATGAGGAGGATTTTTCTAGCAGCAATGGGAAGAATGGACAGGAGGCCATTTCAGAAACTGGATAATATAAAAGTAATTTCGGTGATAAGTAATGAGAGTCTATATGGGTGTTTTCATGGGGCTGGAAAACAGGGTACAGATTAGTGAGTCATCAAGGAGGGAAATTTTACAGAAATTTCTGGCTGATTTAAATATCTGTGTTAGATATGGGGAAATCAATCTTGACTTCCAGGTTTCTGGCTAAAGAAATTTCACAGTGCTTGCTATTCCCTGAGACACGGGTTAGAGGAGAAAGTTTGTCGTGGGGGACTTTATGGGGATAAAGGAAAGAATGAACTAAGTTTCGAGATATTGCTTTTGAGAAGCCCGTGGGACATACAGATGTTTGGAATACTCATATCTGAAGTGGAGGAGACATACTATACTAGAGCTACAGCTTAAGAGTCATCTGTTCACTGATGCTAGATGAAGCCATAAGAGTGGTTGAAGCCATTTAAGGAGGGTGGAGAGAGTAAAACAAAGGCAAACTAAGTACGATTTCAATGTCTAAGTCAGAAAAAAAGTTCCTTATGTGGGAATGCAGGAAGAAAATGGGAGTGGGGGTGGGAGTGGGATTGCCTGGTAGATTCAGGAAGAACTGAACAGTCAAATGTCAAGTTAAATAAAAATAAAATGTACCTATGTGATTTAAAAAT